GCAAATCTGCTGCAAAAGACCTCTTTAAAGTGTTAAAAAGCAAAGATGTCACTTTAAGGACTAAGGTGCGCCTGATCCAAGCCATGGTGTCTTCAATCACCTCATATGCATGCAACAGCTAGACAATGAATAAAGAAGACTGAAGGAGAATTGATGTGTTTGAATTACAGAGTTGGTGGAGAATACTGAATATACCACGGACCGCCAGAAAAACGAACAAATCTGTCTTGGAAGAAGTACAGCCAGAATGCTCCTTCGAAACGAGGATGGCGAGATTTCATCTCACATACTTTGGACATGTTATCTGGAGGGTCCAGTCCCCGGAGAAGAACATCATGCCTGGTAAAGTAGAGGGTCAGTGAAAAACAGGAAGACCCTCAACAAGATGGACTGACTCAGTGGCTGCAACAATGGGCTCAAGCATAACAATTGTGAGGATGGCACAATTGTGGGGTTGCTATGAGTCGAAACTGACTCAAAGGCATCTAACAACAACATGTTACATGTAAAAACAAACAAATATCTTTACATTCTGCAGTATGAAATTTTCTAAACATCTATGAAGTAACTATTTGTGGTAGAAGAGTAAGCTAGAATACTCACAGAGTTTTACTGAAGAGACTCCCAGGAGGTGGCTTTTGGTTAAGACCAGGAGCCTTCAACATTAAATAACAGATTCATTCTCCCAGCTTTCGAGTCAATATTTGCATTTTAGTTGTTAAAAGACAATATAAGTTTAAAACTGCCAGTATAACAATTCAGTTTGCAAAATAGATCATTTACAACTTGGCATCAATTTTGCTTTTAAGTCTGTCTGTTTTGGAGTCAGCTTTACAGGTTTTATTTTCTGTCTCTTTCTTTCGAAGAAGCACATCTGAAAAAGCTCCCTCCTAAATGGTACCTTACCCAACAGTTAACAGGGCTAACCTCTGCACAAAAGTCTCTGTTTAAATATAAATGACTGTCCCACTCAGGCCTTCCCACGTGCTCCATTTATAATCCTCAATCTTAGAAATGCCCCCAGAAAGAGGTCCCCTTAAATTCTGAGACGTGACCTCAATTCCACACAATGTCATACCAACAAGCTATCATGTATCTCAAACCACTCTGAAAGCTGTTCAATCAATAAAGAAATGAAGATCCCTTCCTTTACCTTCCAAGAGGTTAAAGATGAGCACTCAAAGGCATAACTGCAAGAAACCCAAGGTCTGTAAGAGATTTGGGTTTTGTTTGTTTGATTTTGTTTTGTTAACAATAAAAGGGCATCACAAGATGACCACTGGGCTGTATTTATAGACCCACAGGGGACTTTCTGTGGTGTTCCATAACTCCCTTCACTTCTTAATTCATCTTTCACATAAAAATCATTACTCATCTTTTAAAATCCACGCATTTTAAAAGAATGTAACCAGATTATTTTATTTCAAAAGGAAGTATAATTACATTAAATAAAAGTACCAGATGTCACCTATTTAAGCTTATAAAAACAAGAAGGCAAATACATATGTAATACTTTTCTCTAACCTTAAAGAAGATATGAAAATTAGAATAAAATATAAAGGATGGATGTGGGTTTTTTTTTCCCCCATCATGAATCAAAAACACATAATCCTTTTAAAGCTGTCTTAGAAAAATCATTTCTTAGAAGATGTACACAGTAAGATTTTACAACGAATTGATCAGAAGATTCCATCCTCCCGCCTACCTAAGAATTCAGGATATGACTTCCCTCTCACAGCGAGAAGAGGTTAAATACACTGAGGCAGAAGACCCGGGAATTCAATGAAGAGGTATTTCTGCATCATAGCAGGATCTTCTGGTCCAATGGGCCACAATAAGAAATGCACAAAGTTTTGTCATTCTCCTGACCCACTTTTCTCAGCTTTACCTTTGCTCAACACAACCCAAACACTTCAAAATAGAGGGCAAAAGGAAAAAATGCCCAATACCATGAAATTCATTACCTTTTCAAATTGTTTAAAGCAAAGTGTCTGTAAGTAGAAATAATCTAAACATTTGACTACAGCCATTCTTACTCCTCTGAAACGCACATACCACTTTCACTTCAGTTCCAAGAATGTTAACCTGCCTTCCTTGTCTATAAATCAATGGTACTAAGGAGACTAACCCACAGAGCTTGTTAAAACTACAGCTGCCTGGACCCCATCCCAAATAACTGAATCAGAATCCCAAGGGATGGTTCTGACATGCAGCCTAAGTTAAGAATTCCATACATGACAAGCCTGAAACCCAATTTTCAAAATTAAAACACACACATAAATGTATGCAGTGTTAAATAATAACATGACTCACACATAGCTGTTAAGGAGCAAGAGAACCAATCAATTAGTGTCAACCTCAAAATGCAACTTCTCCCACAATCCTCTTCACATAAATAATGTATAATAAAATCTTAATTATAAAATGGAATTAAAGAAATTTGCAGATATTAAAATTATGGAATTAGAGAAGAAAACCTAAACAGATAATACTTTTCAAACTACAATAGACTCATTTATTTTAAAGGTGTACCACTTTTAAAAAAAGCGTAAAGTCATATTTTTTTAATTGGATTTCTCCGCTACACCAGAAATGGCATTATGTGCTTTTTTCTGGTCTTTGAAAAAAAATTTTGTTACAAAATTAAATACTAAAATTATTAAACAGGACATAAATAATTATAACCAGCCAGCCACCCACCCATCCAAAAAAAGTCCATTTGAAAATATTCAAAAATGTTATTCTCTTGCTTTACATGTTGTTATCCAACTGTTGTGACAGACAGAACTGATTTTTTTTTTTTTTTAAGAAATTGAGTTCTCAAAACCTCTGTGAGGTTATATCACTCCAAACCTTAATCTTAGCTGCCAGATAGGCATGCACAAACAATTCCCTTTATTAAACCTGGCCAAGAGATCAAGCTTCTGATAGAGAAACCACACCGGATATAAATTGTTGTTGTTGTCAGTTGTCATTGAGTTGACTTCAGAAGCAGATTGCCAGGCCTGTCTTCCGAGGTGCCTCTGGGTAGGTTCAAACAGCCAACCTTTCAGCCAGCACTCAAGCGCTTAACCATTTGCACCAACCAGGGACAGCCTTGCAAGACATAAGTAAACTTGAGTTACTTGATTGTTTGTAGTCCCCGGGGGGTGCATGCTCAGCTGCTAACCAAAAGGTTAGAAGTTTGAGTTCACCCAGAGGCATTTCAAAAGAAAGGCCTGGCCATCTACCTCCTAAAAATCAGCCATTCAAAACCCTATGGAGCACTATTCTATTCTGACACACGTAGGATCCCCATGAGTCTGAGTCGACTCAAAGGCAACTGTTTTGTTTTGTTGTTGTTGTTATTTTTGATTGTTCAAAGGCACAAGTGAGAAGACTGGAGTGTTGCATGGATGCTGGGAACTTTACCTGTTTCCTGGAGCTGACACATCTAATCCCTCGGGCAAAGCAAGCAAAAGTGAAAACCCGGGATCAAGGTTTAGACATCTTATTCCACACATTATTATCTCACAAGTAAGTACAGATTAGAAACCCCTCACACTGACTCATATTTGAAATACTAAAATGAGTTTATATATCATTAAACATTTAAAGCATACAAAAATAATAAAATAACAAACCCCTATTTTTCTACACACAGGTTAAAGGCAAAAAATAATCTAGCTAATACATCTGATACTTCTGAGCAGCCTTTCTCAAATGCTGAAATAAAATTTTAACTAATATTTACAACTGCTCAAATGTCTTGCATGTTCCCTTGTTTCCAGAAAGTCATCATACCAGCATCTAGTTCAAACGTCTGGGTTCAAATGAAGTTCAATAAAATTCAATTGTCCACTTTGTCTATACTATTAACACACATTCTTTGCTTAGAATCGTTCTCAGCAATTCACACTTTCCAGTCATGGACAGATCTCCTCTAAAGGTTTCAAAACCACAGTAACAGGTCACGAGAATCACGGTCACACAGAAAACTTTCTTATGATTGTACTACTTTAGTAAAATGAGCTAACAAAACTAGGAATATTTTAGTACCCATTACAAGAATAGCTGTTCTCCTCCACCAGAGTTGAATTTCCATCAGCGTTACTATCCATCGCCATCAGTCTCCAGGGTTTGTGGAAAAAAACAAACCTGCCCAAAGACCTTCCCTCAAAGCACAGGTATTCCAGCCAAGTAAAGCTTTAGGGGAAGGAAAAAAAAAAAAAGGAGCTATTTTTCACAACCCCTCAAGCTCTTTAGGAAAAACAACCCTTACAAATATTTCTTTAAATGGAAACAGAGAAGGAGATCAATGACTTCCTAAATACAACTTAACCACTGTCTTTCCTAAAGAAAGATCTCTGAAAATTATACAAACAAGGTAACTTCCTCATAATTTTCATAAAACCAAATCGTGTTAAGCAAGCTTTGCCGTATTCCAAATATAGCATATTTTTAGGAGGCTGCTATAAACGTAACCAGGTGTAATATTCCGTATTAAGTAATTTGCTTTATTTTTATTTGACTGGTCTCCCTTCTCCTCCCTCCCCCACTCACCTCTACCAACTCTTTCAATACCACAGATACCACAGATACCTATCTAGGCATCAGACCAGGATTTAAGCTGTGCCAAATCTCAGTGTGTCTGAAATCCACTACCTTTTTCACCAGCAGTTAAAAGCCTTGAGCAGTAGTCAGGGGAAAAGAGAAATGGGAACTCACGTCAGGGACAGGTTATCAATTTTTCTACCTTCCACCCAGAGGACTGCTTGTCCTCTGATATCTTCTCCTTTGCTAGCTCTCAATGGAGAAAGAAAGAGACCAGAGCCAAAAGTAAGGAAGGGCCAGGAAAGGCCTGGAAGCAGCAGGCTGTGCCTCCTGCACTTGGCTTTCCCCCAACAGAGCTGTGATGCCAACCAGGGACCTAGAGAAGCTCTACCTCACAGCCCAGGGTCCCATCCTTGGTGACTTGAAGGCAGGAGCAGAAGGAATGCGTAATAATTAATTGATACAGTGCAAAATTTGTAAGGGCCAGAGGTAGGCACAAAATGACTGTATGTTTACCCCGCTGCTCTTGAGTCAATTCTGACTCATAGCGACCCCAGAGGACAGAGTAGAACTGCCCCATAGTGTTTCCAAGGCTGTAATCTTTACAGGAGCAGATCGCCAGGTCTTTTCTCCTGCGGTATGGCTGATGGGTTTGAACTGCCATCCTTCCAGTAAGCAGCTGAGAGCTTAGCCATTGTGCCACCAGGGATCCTTTCTGTTCACTATGCAGAGGTCAATGAAATGTAGGGTTTCTAGAAGTCAGATCACCTGAGTTCTAATCCCAGCTCTGGTCTTTCTAGCTCTGTAGCCTTTTTCATTGAATAAATACCTATGGCTCACTTACTATAAGCTGGGCCCTGGGCTTGGCACCAGGGGTGTATAGGTCGTTGCTCTTGTGGAGTTAAATTCTAGTGGATATGACATTAGCAAATACACAAAACAAGAAGAGTATCAGAAAGTGATGAGGACAATATGGGAACTTAAATATAGTGATGCAATCAAGAGTGATGGGGAGGGTGACTTTCTAAAGTCAGCAGGGATGATCTCTCTGAGGAGGTGACATTTAAGCCTAGATCTAAATGACAGGGGGAGCCAGCCAGGCAAAGATAGGAGGAAGAGGGGTGTACAAAGGTCCTGAGGTCGGCATAACTGGGCCTTTTGGAGAAAGAGTAAGCAGGCTAGTGCAGCAAATTACTTCTGTGTGGCTCAGATTCATCGTCTATAAACCGGTAGTAGTGAGGATTAAACTCTTAGCACCATATATGCACACGGTATGCATTAAATAAATTGAAACTGCTAGAATTATATCATCATCACCATTCCCATCACTGAAGGTGTGCAAGCAGAGGTTGGTGACCACATCATAGGCCTGGCTAAGTTAGGCCTCTAAGGTTTCCCTCTTAGATTCCAGGATTAGACAAGAAGAGAAATGGTGAAGGAAGAAATCATGGAATTATTATAGTCAGGCTTCCTGCTCATGAAATTTTAAAGAATACACTGAGTCATACAACAAGGTAGAGCCTACCTGACTAATTAATTCAACAAATGGTTCTTTCCTATCTGAGAGTCTACATTTCTAATCTCTGGGTTGTCAAAAACTCCACATGCATCTAGTTGCCACATGGGTATCCAGAGGCCTCTTTAGCGGCCTCTGGGCTAAAACTCACCACAGCAGCACTGAGAATAACAGAAAAGAATGACTTATTCTATACAACTAGATTTAAATTGCGTTAGCTACTGACTGAATGAAATAACAGTAAGAGTACTGTTTTACTTTTATATGCATCCCAAACCACTTTAACATTTCATGTTTAAAGTGCTCTAAGTGGAAGTTTATTCATCACATACTTCATTGGCAATATATTTCACTTTTTAAAAATTCACAGTTTTGGCCTACTCTCTCAAAATATTTACTGGTTTCTTAAGCTTCCTGAAGTCTACTACTTGAAGCTGCCAGTGATGCAGTCATTGATGACGAACTCGACTTACATGTCTGTAAATTAGAGAAGGGAGTCCCGGGGTGGTGCACACAGTGAAAGGGCTTGGCTGTGAACCGAAAGGCTGGAGGTTGAGTCCACCCAGAGGCACATCAGAAGAAGGATGGTGTGGTCTAGTTCCAAAAAATCAGCCACGGAAAATCCTATGGAGCACACTTCTACTGACATACGGGGGTCCCCATGAGTCAGAGTCGACTCAACCACAACTGGTTTAAGTTAAAAAAAGAAAGGTCACGATTCTTTCAAGTCTTTTTCAATAATTTACCCAAATTCAAGGCAAATGTATTACAACCATAAATAAATGTATGACTTTTCTATTACTGAAACTATAGGATCCCTGGATGGAAGAAACGGTTAGGTGCTCGACTACTAGCCAAAAGACTGGAGGTTCAAACCTCCCCAGAGGTGCCTCAGAAGACAAGCCCGGCGACCTGCTTCCGAAAGGTCACAGCATTGAAAACCCAATGCAGCACAGTTCTACTCTGCACACATGGGGTCACCAGGAGTCAGAATCGACTCGACAGCACCTAACACCAACATCTCATCACCTAACCTTCATAACATCATATTTTCATTTAGATGGTGAATGTAGCTTTAAAAAAAAAAATCTCACACACAGGATGAAGCAAATTAATACTAAATGAGGGCAATATAAACAATCCTAATAGTTTAACATAAAATGTGCAAATATTTTTATTATGCCAGGCTTTCAGACTGTTGAATGAAACTCAGCGATTGGGGGAAGGGGTTGAACTTTCATAAACCAGGAGATTAAATTATCTATATACACTCAACGTTAGTTTCTTTCCACCCCAATCTCCCCTCTCCATACACATACAAATATACAAATACAAAATCGCTCAAAGAGAAGAAATCTAGAGAAGCAGATTAGAATCAAAATACCCCTTTAGGAAAACATTCCTTAAAAAAAAAAAAAAAAAATGAAAAAGCAACAAATTCAGCAAAGAACACATCCAAGGAGGATCTTTTAAAAATATTTATTATATGTAGATGATTCCTTCATCTTAACCTGGACTAAAAATCTCTTTTCAATATGTAAGTCTTGCAGTAACATGAGACATTACCACTGCATACTAAGCATTTACCTTAAAAGAATCAAAAAAGTGCCTTCCAGAAAGCAAGCCTGGGCCTATAACCCCATACCATCGAGCTAATTCTGACTTATAGCAACCCTACGGGACAGAGTAAAACTGCCCTATAGGGTTTCCAAGGCTGCAATCTTTACAGAAGCAGACTGCTACATCTTTCTGCCCCGAAGAGGCTGGTGGATTTGAACTGCTAACCTTTTGGTTAGCACCCAAGGGCTTAATCACTTCGTCACCACAGCTCCTCTAGGACTAATAAATCCATTCAAATCCAAATTTATCTACTGTCTTTTGCAACATCATCCAGCCAAAAGAATGTGATTCACATCTCAGATATGCAACAGCTAAATTTCCAACGTGTTTTGAAGTAGGTGCCACAGGCAAAAAGTAAGAGTCATAGCCCTGGCATGAAAATATTCTAAGCAATTTGAGAACCCTTAAAAATATAAGAACTAAGTAATACAGGTTCATTGAAGATGTTTAGAAAATACATATGAGTAAAATAAAAATAATAATAATCCCAACATGCAGAGATGACCACTATTAACATTTTAGTGTATACACTGCTAAACGTTTTTTTTGCAAAAAAGTTGTTCACACTGGAGGACACTATGCTGAGTGAAATAAGTCAATCACAAAAGGACAAATATTGTATAGGTCCTCTATTGTAAAAACTCATGAAAAAGTTTACACACAAAAAGTAACAATCTTTGTTGGTTACAAGGGATGGGAGGGGTGGGGGGGAAATACTAAATAGGCAATAGATAAGTGGTATCTTGGGTGAAGGGTGAGACAGTACACAATACTGGGGAAACCAGAACAACTTGTAAAAGGAAAGGTCATGGAAGCTCCACAGACACATCTAAACTCCCTGAGAGACTGAATTGCTGGGTGGAGGGCTGTGGGGACCATGGTCTCAGGGAACATCTAGCTCAACTGGCATAACACAGTTTATAAAGACAATGTTCTACATTCTGCCTTGGTGAGTAGCACCTGGGGTCTTAAAAGCTTGTAAGCAGCCAGCTAAGATACTCCACTGGTCTCACCCCATCCGGAGCAAGAGAGAATGAAGAGAACAGGATACAAGGAAAAGATCAGTCCAAAGGACTACTGGACCACAGCTACTAAGGCCTCCACCAGACTGAGTCCAGTACAGTTAGATGGTGCCTAGCTACCATCACTGACTGCTCTGACCGGGATCACAACAGACGGTTCTGGGCAGAGCTGGAGAAGTATGTAGAACAAAATTCTAACACATACACACACAAAAAAGACCAGATTTACTGGCCTGAAAGAGACTGGAGAAACCCCGAGAGTATGGCCCCCAGACACCCTTTCAGCTCAGTGGTGAAGTCACTTCCGAGGTTCACTGTTCAGCTGGGAATTGGACAGCCCCATAAAACAAAACGGGACTAATGAGGCACAACAGTCGAGGGACAAGGACTAGAAGGCAGAAGGGGACAAGAAAGCTGGTGATAGGGAACCCAAGGTTGAGTAAGGACAGTGTTGACATGTAATGGGACTGTTAACCATTGTCATAGGGCAACATGTGTACTGTTTAATGAGAAACTGTTTTGTTGTGTAAACCTTCATCTAAAGTGAGAACAGCAGCACAACTGGAAGAACATAATCGATGTCACTGAACTGTGCACGTAGAAATTTTTGAAATTGTGTATCTTTGGCTATGTATATTTTCCCAAAAAAAAATAAAAGGTCAAGAAGGGAAAGTGTTGACATGTCGTGGGGTTGTTAACCAATGTCATAAAACAATATGTGTACTGACTGTTTACTGAGAAACTATTTGTTCTGTAAACCGTCACCTAAAGTACAACAAAAAAAATGTTCACATAAATCGGCTACTATTGCACATATATTTTTACTTATATTAAGAACACAGTCCATGTTCGTATGTATATGTATACATATCATTTTTATAAATGTATAATCTACTTTATGGACAAATCCTAATTTAATTAGCCCTGCTGAGATTCTATATTGTTCAGATGTCCTACAGTAAAAGAACAGTGTAGATTTAAACCACTATTTCCTGAAGTTTTTTGAACATGAATCCTTTTTTGAATTACACATTATCTATCCTAGCACTTGTGCTCCTTTCATAACACTTTGTGAAATAATGACTTAACCAATTCACACTATTGGATTTTTATGAATGATGTTATGTTATATATATCTATTTTGGAATTGACTTGATGGCAGTGGGTGTGGTTTTCTTTTATATATATAATGTATTTTAATATTTTAAAATGTTTTGTTTTACAGGAATAATTCTTCAAAATTTAAATTAAAATTTTTTAATTAAAATACATACTTTAATTACAATAATATATTATATATATTATTATAAATAACACTGTGATCAACTCCTTGTATGTACATCTTTGCTTATTCCCTCGGAAAAATCCCTAGAAATAGGATCACTGGGCCAACTGGTATGCAAGTGTTTAAAAACATGTTTTGCCAAACTGTCCCCAAGCAGTGTATGAGAGTACTTACCCTTTTTAAACAATAATTTCATATTTAAAGAACTGTCAGAAGTATATGTGCTCATCACCTGTACCCCTTATTTTTAAAGTTATATAATTACTTTTTTATGAACATGGTTAAAGTACATAGTTATAAATATCGAATGTCTTACTGTAATGGAGATTGACTCAGAAAGTGTTTAAGAATATACCTCGTCACAATTTATAGAACATGACAAGCACAGATGCAATAAATGGTCTCTGTTCCATTTTCCTCTTTGTTACATTTATATATTTTTGGACATACATTCTGTACTCTTAAGAAGACAGTACTTTATAATAACAAGACACTTAAAAAGCAAAATAATTTTAGAGGAATAAAACGTTCTCAAAGCATGTTTTAAAATAGGATATTAAGCTGAACCTCCAACAGATCCTTCAACCTACATAATAATCACTACATATTAGAGCCAAGTCTGTAATAACCAACGCCCTCACCAACCAACCAGTATAGTGGGGGGAAAAAGTGTATATTAAGGCAGTTAACTTAAGAGTTTGTTTCAATGCATACTTCTGCAGTTTCAAATAATAAGAATAAGCTCCTGATATAAAGATGGTTTGCAGAGCAAAATAAAAAAAGGCTTTGGGTTCCTTTTTTGCTTTTAAAGTGACACTGGATGTAATTTTATATCTCAAAGTAACACTCAAAGATACTTAAGTAAAGTGTTCACACCCAGGGCAGGGCTCTGTGTGATTTCCAAAGCTCAGAAAGGCCCTGCCCTTTGAGCCTGCAAAAACTTAGTCAGAGGGGCAAGTTCTCCTGAGGGAGCAGAAACTTTCTGCAGAATCCAACAAGGCTTGAAGTAATCACCATTCAAGTTATTACTAAGTTAAATCAGCAGTTCTTACTCCTGGCTTTGTCTCAGGATCATATCTAAAGCTTTTTAAAAATACAGAAATTCTTATTCAATAGGTCTGGAGTGGAGCCAATGTATCTGCATTCTTTAAAAAACCCCTAGTTGATTTATTTGAACAGCCACAGTCAAAAAGCACTTGGCTATATAAAAAGATCGGGGGATGGGGCAGTACACTAAGGTTCCTAATTAAAATGTTCATACAAAAATCATTAATCTGTTTTAGTCTAGTTTATTGGATTACCTAGGTGAAAACTGTACCTTGACAAGGCACATAAGAAGTTTCAAAAAGGAAGTGAAAGGATAAGGTTAGGATATATGGAAATGGAGTCAAAACCTGAGAAGATCCATCCTGCCAGAAACTATGCTATTTCCTATTCTAACCATATAATCCCTTTAATTTCAGGGGGAAAAAAAGCCTAGCTGTATTTTTGTGTTTAATGGGGTACTCTTCTAAATAAACAGCAGTCAGCTACAGGTAGCAGTTTCACCAAGCAAGGCCAGTCAACATACAATGAGACAAAATCATGTTGAGAAATTCAGATAGGCCACTTAGAGACCATACCTTTTACAATACAATCATCCTTTGTCAGAGCTAAGCTTCTCAAAAGAAGTTTGCCTCACAAGAATGCCGCAAAACCAAGCCAAAAAACTTGGGTCTTCTAAACAGTTTACACATAACAATCCAGAATTTTCTTAAGCTTCCATTACCTACCAGATCTGGACTTAATGATGTCACTGAACTCATTCTGCACATCGTCAGGCTGGGCCTCATGTTCTCCATATTTGGCCATCTTCACTGAGCTTCAACGCAATCCAACGACTTTATCAGGTCTTCTTTTTAAGACTTTTAATTTTCTATAATGGTCCTGCTTGACATCAATACCTAAAAAGAAAAGGGAAAGTATTGACTTGAATATATATCGTAGCTGTTAGCTGCCATTGAGACAGGGACTCCTGGTGACCCCCAACTCATGGGAACTCACGTACAACAGAACAAAACACTGCCTGGTCCTATGACATCCCCACAATCAGCCATAGATTGGACCATTGTGATCCACAGGGGTTTTCACTGGCTAATTTTCCGAAATAAATCTCCAGGCCTTTCTTCCTCATCCGTCTTAGACTGGAAGCTCTGCTGAAACCTGCTCAGCATCATAGCAACATGCAAGCCTCCACTGACAGACAGGTGGTGGCTGTGCATGACATGCATTGCTGGGAAACCGAACCTGGATCTCCCACATAAAACCAGAAACCAAACCCACTGCCATCAAGTTGATTCCGACTCACAACAACCATATAGGACAGAGTAGAACTTCCCCACAGGGTTTCCAAGGAACGCCTGGTGGCTTCAAACTGCCGACCTTTTGGTCAGCAGCCGAATTCTTAACCATGACGCCACCAGGGTTCAAGCCACCAATTCCCCCTCTGAATATACTATATAAATGCACACAATACACAGTCATATATAGACACACACACACACAAATATAGTAACCATTTGCTCAGCAAATATTTACTAAGTGCCTACCATGTCTAGGACCTCTAGTGGCACAGTGGTTAAGCATTTAGCTGCTAACCAAAAGGTCGGCCGTTCAAATGCACCAGCCGCTCCTTGGACACCCTATGGGGCAGTTCTACTGTGTCCTATCAAGTCACTATGAGTCAGAATGGACTCCACCGCAATGGGTTCACTAATCTGGGAAACAAGGGTATGGCTATCGACGAGAGACACGGCCCCTGCCCTCATGTAGCTTATAGGCACTAAGCAATTAATTATATAATGAATTATTTCATTACAATACCTATATGCTACAAATGTATAAAGGAGAAACATAGAGTAATATGAGTATACAGCAGAGGAATTTGACCTACCCTAGGAAACTGGAGAAGGCTTTCTTGAATAAGGGACATTTGAGCCCAGCCTTTAAGGATGAGAAGAATTTAATTAGCTAAAAAGTGAGGTAGGAAGAGAAAAAGTTAAGAGCCTCCCAGGGGAAATGGCAGAAAGAATCATGGAGCATTCAAGGAGCTGAGCAAAGGCTAGTGTTTCTGGAGAGAAAAGAGGCAAGATGAGAGCATACCTGGTGAAGTCGGTGAGGTAGGCAGGGAGGGACAGGGCCGTGGAGACCATGTCAAGGCTTTTGGTCTTTATCTGAAGAGCAATGGGGATCCAGGATATCCTTTTAAGCAGGGAAGTGATCAGATCTGGCTTTTTAAAAGATCTTGGCTTGGAGATGTATCCGAGTGATACATGGGGAACCAATGAACTCTGGCAGAATATAGCCAAATGTTCATTGAAGAACCCAGGGCAAGAGTACATGGGTGTTGAATGAAAATTCCTCCAACCCTTCTGTATATTTTAATTTTTTTAATAATAAACATTGGGGGGAAAAATCCTAACCTTAACCAAGGGATCCAACTTGACATGACCAATAATGGAGCATTGTGTGATGCGATGAAAAATACACAACGTCATCTGCACAGTATCCTTGCAAAAATGTTGAACATGAAGCTTATCGTTAGCTGACAAACCCAGACTGTGGGCAGTCTTCAAAACACATAGCCAGGGCTCCTCAATACTGTCAGCAGCATGAAAAACAAAAATACCCAGTGGAAGAGGAACTTTGTGGAGTAAAGAAGACTAAACAGATACGACAACCAGGTGAAATCCTTGACTGACTGCAGAATTTAAAAACAAAACTTACAGGGGTCACTTTGGAGATAATTTGAAAAATATAAATTTGGACTATATATTAGACAGTATCATTAAATCAATCTTAAATTTCTTTAGCACTGATTAATGGTTTTTGTGGTTATGCGGGGGAATGGATTTGATCATAACAGAAGGTGAAATTTACCAATGAAGTGTGATAATATCTTTAGCTTAAGTTCAAACAGGGGAGCATACATACACAGAGAGAGAGATGAAGTAAATATTACAAAACGATAATGGAGGAATCTAAGTGAAGGGCATATGGGTGTTTGTTGTGCTAGTCTTTCAACTGTAATATTACAGGCAAGAAATGATTGTGTCCTAAACAAGGATAGATGGAAAGAGACAGGTGAATATGTGGGACGTTTAGATATTAAATAAAGGTCAATAGGATTTGGGAATTGATTTTGGATATGAGAGGTTCAGGATACTAAAGAGAAGATGACAAAAAAGCAGTTGGATATGCAAGCCTGGATTGCAGGAGTGGTCTGGATTCAAGATGTAAATCTGGACAGTTAATCTGTTATATCCATTGACAAAGATTTTATTCTAAAAGGTACACCTATGAATTCTGCCAAGTATAGGCACCACTCAAATAAAGTAATTTTAATTTTTAGTCATTAATTAGTTAAAAACATCTTCAGAACTTAAAGAATGGGGGTACTACCTCTTCTTTATGACTGCCAATGGCTAGAGTACTACATTGTCCTAATGGTCCCTGGAACACACTGCCCCGACAACCCAAACAGAATTATAATTTGATTTTCAGTTCATCAACTGGGCTCTATCCTGCCAATAGCCCCTTATGAGTAGCCCAAATGACAACTAAATAAATTAATCATATGTTAACCTGTAGATAAAAGCAACCCCATTACCAACAAGTCGATTCGGACTCACAGCAACCTTATGGGATAGGGTAGAACTACCCCACAGGGTTTCCAAAGCTGTAAATCTTTACCGAAGCAGACTGCCACATATTTCTCCTGAGGAGCAGCTGGTGGGTTGGAACTACCACCTTTCATTTAGTAGCCAAGCACTTAACCACTGCGCCATCATGACTCCTTAATCTGTGGATGATGGATATTAATTCACATACTACAACAGATATCAGAACTAGGATTTACTGCTAGCCAGGCCTGGACAACTCAATCCTTTCATTCAAGGACACATCATATGGTATTATTATTTTTTAACATATAATATTTTATTTAAGATTTTAATTGTATATAATTTTGTATTTCACTTATTACAATATTTTATAATATGTAATATCAAGGTTACACACAACATGCTGTTGTTAGGTGCCACTGAGTCAGTTCCGACTCAGAGCAACCCTATATACAACAGAACGAAATACTGCCTGGTTCTGCGCCATCCTCACAACCACTTATGCCTGAGCCCATTGTAGCAACCACAGTGTCAATCCATTTTGTTGAGGGTTTCCCTCTTTTTCACTGACCCTCTACTCTACCCAGCCTGATGTCCTTCTCCAGGGACCGGTCCCTCCTGATAACATGTCCAAAGTATGTGAGACATAGTCTCGCCATCCTCGCTTCTAATGAGCATTCTGGCTGTACTTCTTCCAAGACAGATTTGTTTGTTCTTCTGGCAGTCCATAGTATATTCAATACTCTTCTCTAACATCACAATTCAAAGGCATAGATTCTTCTTCAGTCTTTCTCATTCATTGTCCAGCTTTCACATGCATTATGAGGCAATTGAAAGCACTATGGCTTGGGTCAGGTACACCTGAGTCCTTAAAGTGACATCTTTGCTTTTTAACACTTTAAGAGGTCTTTTGCAGCAGATTTGCCCAATGCAATGAGTCGTTTGATTTCTTTACTGCTTTTCTTGACTGCTGCTTCCATGGGCATTGATTGTGGATCCAAGGAAAATGAAATGCTTGACAACTTCGGTATATTCTCCATTTATCATGATGCTGCCTATTGGTCCAGTTGTGAGGATTTTTGTTTTCTTTATGTTGAGGTGTAATCTATACTGAAGGCTGTGGTCTTTGATCTTCGTTGGTAAGTGCTTCAAGTCCTCTTCACTTTTAGCAAAAAAGGTTGTGTCACCTGCATATCACAGTCTGTTGAGTCATCCTCCAATCTTGATGCCCCATTCTTCCTCATATAATCCAGCTTCTCGGATTACTTGGTCAGCATACAGACTGAATAAGTATGGTGAAAGGATACAACCCTGATGCACAGCTTTCCTGACTGCCCCTTGGTCTAAGTACAGGTTGTTCATGAGCGCAATTGTTTGGAATTCCCATTCTTCACATTATTATCCATAATTTGTTATGATCCACACAGTTGAATGCCTTTGCATAGTCAGTAACATACAACATATGGTCATATTATTTTATAATATATAAAATTTTATTTATCTGTTATATAATAATTATATTATTTTCCTGACCAAGTCAGAAAAAAAGGTGTATTCTAATAATTTAGAGGTTAAAATTACATTAGAAAAAGTTTAAAGTGTTAAACAGTTTGAGGCAGATCAAAATTGTGACAGATCGCTAAACCTACCAGAAGAACTTACTCTCCAGGAGGGAGGAATATATGGATTGGATCATCAGTCTGCCATGTTTTATGACAGCATAAAAAAATTTCTTTTATTTCTTACATTGTTCTACTACCGTTAAGCCTGCACGAATTATTACATGATTAGTTCCTTTCTTCACGTATAAAAATACAAAGCTTTGCTTAATTTTTAAATGTATTTTATTATATCCAAGAACCAAAAATATGTTCAGAAGAATGTATATAAAATTTTATTATGGAAAATAATGTCTTTCCAACAAAAATTCTCTTTACTGGAAAGCAAGTGTCCCCGTTGAGAGATACTTCTAATGCTTTCCTTCACATTTGGTCTTAGTCAAGCAGTGCTTCCCAAAGACTTTTCCCACTGCATAAAAGAGAAAAGTAAACTGTTTACACAGGACTCTATTTCATTTGCACATTACCAGTAATATTTCTTCATTATTATGCTTTATTTTGCCACTGTCCTTAATTAAGATAATTTCTCATATTTTCTCTTCTTGGTAACAAAAACCCCTGCATGCTGCAAAGATGCAGCAGAAAAGGGGGTCAGAGGACAAGGAAAGAATGCGGAAGAGAGAATAACAGAAGACCATTTAAACAGTGATAGACGCTGACTGCCACGTGTTACCACTTACAGCGAGGGGACTCCAGTTTCAGTAACATAAGGCAAAGGAGATGTCCTTCTAAATCACTAAAGGCTGCTGTGATTATAACTGACTGTCAGGAGAGAGAATCAAAGCTTCACCCCTAACAATGTGCCTCAATGTGACCCTCCATTTCCACATCTATGAAATGGAGAATGCCATCTTCCACACAGTTAGGTGAGGAACTGAAAATAAATAAATGGGATATATTAAGCCCTATACAAGTGTAATTTGTTACCACTGCCCACTTTCCATTCCCTCATAATGATGTTCTGCAAAGCTTAGCCAGATGCTTCTCACTGAAACCAATGCATTCAACTATAAACGTTCACCAACTCTTTCTTCAGAACGTTTCTGGCTGTCATATGAACCAGAAGCCAAGAGTGTGTGGCAATAAATCTGGGATGAAAGTGGAGGGGGCGCACCGACCTTAAAAGCAAAAGTAACCTATAAATTTTAAAATAATTTGCGAGTTACACAATATAAAAATATATATATTGTTGTTAATTGCCCTCCAATTCTGATTAATGAAAACCCCATGTGAAGAGATGTGTGTGTGTGTGTGTGTGTGTGTGTGTGTGCGCGCGCAGCCACCAGCTGCTCTTTGGAAACCCTATGGGGCAGTTCTACTCTATCCTATTGGATCGCTATGAGTCAAAATTGACTCGATGGCAATAGTCTGTATATGTGCGTGTGGTGTATCCATTCAATAATGTGCAACTATGGGAATACGGTTTAGGTCATTGGACAAAAACTATTCATTCATCTACACTGGGAACCCAAACCTGGGAATGCTAGAGACAATGGAAAGGAAAGCCAACGGGGCATGAATATGCCGCTCTGCTTGAAACACAGTAAAACCGCTGAGTGCCGTTCACCCTCGGAAGCGCTCCAGGGAAGGTTAATAGTAGTGCGATTAACAGTGTTTACAGGGGTAATAAATTTTAGGTAAACACCCAAAGGAGCGTTAAACAGCTGTCTCATCCGTCGCATAAATGCTGGCACAGGGGGCGGAAAAATGGTTCCAAGTAAAGCCTGGCCTTCCCCACCTGGTACACTGGAGGCTGAAGCACTCACAGGCTTCGCATTCCTCCACGCCCGCCTGCCCGCAGCGCTTCCTCCGGCTTCGTCCCCGGCGCCCACCAGCAACCTGCTGGGAGGGCCACTTAGCGTCCCAAGCCGGTTCAAGTTACAAAAGGACAGATGCGGAGGGAATCTGGGCGCCCAAGGCGCTCTCACGATGCTCGGAGCACTCTGGCTGTAGCGCCCAGGGCACGGACCTCCCCACCCCCCACCCCCAAGAGCTGCATAGGGAACCGAGCTGCGAGGCGCTGGCGGCTCCAGTGACGCCAAGACCTCCTCTCGCCCACCTGGAGGCTGGGAAAAAGTACCTCCCCGGGACACCACAGAAAGCCCAGCCGTGGAGTAGACTGCGAGCTCCTCAGTTCAATAAAACCAAAGTCCTCCGGCCCTCGGAGGTCGGGCGCGTTTCCCCTCCCCTGGAAACAACTCTGGAACGAGTCCCTTTCGTAATCTGGGCTTGAAGAAATTGCTTTTAACAGAGTTGCTTCTAAAAGTTGCACAGCCTAAAACTAATGCTTTGTTGGTTTTGTAAGTAGCCTTGAGCAACTCCAGTCTCGGACCCCGGGCCACAGCAAAGCCATGAATTACCTTGTCAGTTGGAGCAAGAGATGCCAAACCAAAAAACCCCTTGCCAGCGAGTTGATTCCGACTCATAGTGAGCCTATGGGACAGAGTAGAACTTCCCCCATGGGGTTTCCAAGGCTCTAATCTTTAGGAAGCAGACTGCCACATCTTTTTTCCGTGGAGAGGCTGGTGGGTTCGAACCGCCGACCTTCCTAGCCATTGCGCTACCAAGGCTCCAAGAGATGTCAAGAGTCCGGAAAAAGAGAAGAGGCGACCGCGCGGGACTATGCCCCCCGCCCTCTCCAGTCTCGCCGGTGCCGCTGGCAGGGTGGTAGTGGCCGCGCCACCTTCTCCGGGGCCCCACACTAGGGCGCAGCAACCGCGGGAGGTCGAGCACGTTTCCTGCCAGGAGGCTGGTCTAGGAGCCGCTCCCCTGTCTGTCGACCACACAGCACTTTCTCTCCACCCTCTCCTTGCAGATGCCCCGGGGGCCCGGCCTTCCCGGGCTGGGAGCTGCGCGACAAGCTCTCCTAGGCGGCCACGTCCCCTCTGGGTGATCACTGGCCCGGCGCCCCGCACTGCGCGATGCACGAACACTCGCCCCGGTCAACCATGCGGGGGGAGGCACGACTGGGGGGACAAGGAGGCAGTACAGAACTCGTCGGAGTTCGGGGCGTTGGCAACTAGTACGGATCCCGACGACCTTCTCGCCCGAACTCTCTCCACGTTTCTGGCATTCTCTCGCCTGCCGAGGGGAGCTGAAATGAGGTTCCAAGAACAGCGCACGTAAAAGTTAAGGTTACGTTTTAAACTAAAGACTTCGAAGCAGCTCCGGACGCCGATACCTGGGCAAGAGCCGCAGAAAAGTCCACCCTCCTTCCCTGCCCCAGTCCCTCGGGGCTGTGGTCACATTACCAGCCCGAGGCTTCAATAATGCATGGACTTACCTGCTCCGTGCCCTTAGGGCCGCCTAGCTGCTTGTCGCCGCTGCGTCCCGGCCGGGGAACGGCGCCTTTGGATGTGTTTGGGTGGTAGGAGTCGCTGGAGTGGTGCGAGTGGAGAGTTTTGTGGTGCAATTTTTTTTAATGAAGTGTGGATAACCAGACTAGATCCGAAAGAAAAAATATTTTTTTGACACCCGATTAAAAACGCTCGGACTTGTGCAATCTTGCTGCCCCGTAGTTCCGCCAAAAACAAAAGCAAAAAATCCAAGTGCAAACCTGGAGCAGGCGCACAGGCAGGCACCAAGGCACCAAGTTTGCCAAGCACTAGAGAGTTTTCCGTCTGCAGAAATGACCCAGAAGAAGGGGGGAACAGCTCCCCGTCATTCCCCAATCGGCTTCTGTGGCGGGAGGCTCCTCCTCGTCCCTCCGCGGGAGAAAGCCCGCGGCCGGGTGCGGCGGCCGGCTTCCTCCTCCGAGGAAAGGCGACTCCACAACTTTCTGAGCTAGGGCGGCTGGCCTCAGCCGGCGGCTCCTCCTCCTCCTCCCCGCCCCGGGCCTGCCCCTTTGTTGGAGAGGAGAGCAGGAGGCTGCGGTGGGTGGGGCGCGAGACCGGCCGGGCGCGCTCCACCACCCTTTCTGGAAGGGGTCTCGAGTCCGGGCCCCCGGGGGTCGCTCGCCTGGGTGGCTAAAGAGATCAGGACCGCAGGCCGGCGCTGCGCCAGCGCGCCCGCTCCACTCGGCTCTCCTGCCCTGCCGCAGGCGGCCCAGCAACTTTGTTGGCGAAGCCCAGCCCCTCTCGGCTCCAGGTTCGGCCCCAGCCGGGCCGCGGCGGCCACTGCGGGATCCTCTGGGGGAACGTGGCGCCCCGGGTCACCTGACCGCGCGCCCCGTCAATCAGCGTCCGCCCTGCGCGCCCTCCCCGCCCGCAGCGCTCCGCCTGGCGCTCGGCTGGGCTGGGGCGGCTTGTCCGGCGCCGTTCCGGGAGCGAACCCTGCCTGCCGGGAGCTGGAAGCTGGAATGGATGCCTCGCTTAAACCCAAGCTTCCCTCTGTGTTCAGATGATCCGAAAATGCGAGTTAGCCCCTCGCCTCCCGAGGCAAACCCGATCTCTAGTTAAAGTGATCTTTTTTGTTTGTTTCCTTTAGAGATAAATCCCTGTCTGCTCTCCATTTACCCCATCTCAGTTCGCTAATGTTGCTCAGTTTTTTGTCCTAGATCCAAGAATATATTTTACGGAATTTTCTTAGTATCATTTTTAATATTACGAAAAGACTTGAAATTTCCTTTTATATTCAGTCACACGTGCAAATAATGTTTGAACTGACTTTAGTTTTCTATTTTTCCAATATGCACACGGACACATCTATAGTAGCGCCTGTTTCAAGCTTGAGGGGCTGGCCAAAAAATATCCGAAAAGAAATTTATGCTGTATGTCCATTTTTTTATTTACACATTGCATTCCCCTTGTGTTCCTGTGATTCTTTTACAAGGAGGAAAGAAAAAACTGCAACTCAAGTTTCTAGTTAGTATAAACAAAGAGGAAAGGATGATTGATAGGCAAGCTCTGGCTTATTGCTGGTTTGATACTTGAGCATTAACAATTTACGAGGCAGTAAAGATAAAACGCTGAGCCTTCTGCCCAGTTAATGTATCTTCAGCCCCAAAATACATAGAGCTGAAGTGCAAAGCAATGTTTTTACCCAAGTATTTGAACAATATGTAATAAGAACGAACAATTGGAAATTAAAAAGAAGGGAAGATGGGCAAAGCAATAGCATAACTAAAAAATCCAGGTGCCTTAAACAAGTTTTTCAGAAAGAATTCCCTAGCTTTTTGTTAGTTAGAAAGTGAAAGGTCCCCCCAGCCCTCAGTGCTGTGGCACTAGTTACCCAGGTGGCATTTATATTCATGAAAAAGGAGTAGGAGGTCCTGAGAGTCTTCCTTATGACAGCTCTAGCTTAGCTTCCATCGTTTTGAGTATTCATAGAAACCAAATACAATATAGAGGAATAAACTGAAATGGGTATGATTTTTTCATTCATTCCTTCATTTAATGAACACCAACCAATTTGGGGTCTGCCAGGTCTGCTGGCACTGTGACTGATGCAGAGATAAATCTGATAGAGATCTTGTCTTTAAATAACTTAGAATCTAGGAGGTGAGATAAGTCAGGTAAATAAGCAAGTATATGCAAGATCAGTGATAAGTGACATAAGAAAACAGATTGAGTGCTAGCTGAGTCTAGCTTTAGAGTGGCAGGCCCAGGTTTCTTTTAACTTATAATTCTACAGTCCCTTATGCGGTTGATCTCTAAACTCATCCTGGGTTGAGTTGATGGAAACTCAGATTCCCTCCTTTAAAGCATAATAACACCACAGTGGAATGTTTGAGGATTTCATTAACTAAAGCAATGTAAAAGTGCTACACACACATTAACTGAAAATTATTGAAAAACAGTGAACTTTTGAGACCTATAATTTTTGGGTTTTTAAGCTCTGCGGAGGTCCTGGGTGGTTTGCAGTGGCAGTTCCAACCCATCCAGCAGCACCTCGGAAGAAAGGCCTGACTTCTTCTTCCGTAAAGATTACAGCCAAGAAAACCCTATGGTAGCACATGGGGCTGCTGTGAGTCTGAATCGACCCAACAGGAAAGGGTTTGGGTTTGTTTTTTTTTGGGGGGGGGCGTGGTGGTGGTTTAAGCTCTGTGGGGATGTTTAGTCAAGCTTCCCCAATGGCCTTAAGAAAGGGGTAGAAGGGGAAATAGCCACCATTATAAGAGACTGACTCTACCCCACACCCCACTTTCAGTGGTTTATCACACTACCTACAGACCTGCATTCTACCTGTTCTAGCTCTTCCCCCCTCATGCAGAGACTAATACCCTCTGTAGGTGATGGGCAAAAGAGGCCAAAAAACTTCCTAATGATGGAATGACCAAAAGGTCCCACCTGGACCTCCTCCTTGTTTTCTTTGTCAAGTGGGGAAACCAAATTTAGTATGAGATTTAGCCAAGGGGGTTACGTTTCCATAGAGCAGATGGTGTGATCTTCTTTCACAGCCTGAGCGTCTCACTGGTGGATGGTGAGCACAGGCCACCGGAGGAGGGTAGCCGTTAGTATACCTGCAACCAACATTCCACCTGCAGTCAGTGCCACAAGGAAATGGCCCTGTAAGGACAGTGCTCGGCGGAGTTTTGTCTGACCACCCGAGGATCACTATAAAGCATTCAGAGAAAGTGATAGCAATGTGCCCGGAGTCTATTAGCTCAGAGTCTAAATTGCCCAATAGTCACCTTAAAAAAAAAAAAAACCCAGTTGCTGTGGAGTCAACTCCGACTCATGACACCCTCATGCGTGCTAGAGTAGAACTGTGCTCCACAGGGTTTTCAGTGGTTAATTTTTCAGAAATAGATCACCAGGCCTTTCTTCCAAGGTGTCTCTGGGTAAACTCAAACCTCTAACCTTTTGGTTAGCAGCTAGTTATGTTAACTTTCTACACCAGTGAAAATTAAAGAAACTTGAACTAGTTTCATTGGAAGAAAACTCCTGACATAGGAGGAAATACGAGATGAGGGGCTTATCCACAGATTTATATATAAAGGTATATACATATGTATGTCTATATACAGTGAAACCTGTGAGAGCTGGGACTCAACAGGACTGCCTTGTTTTTCCGGGTCTTGAAAATTTTCCACCTCTGACAGGGTACAGTCCTCCCACTTTTCTGTTGCTCTCTATGGGTGGAAAATATTTAAGTTTTCCTTCTCTGACAGGTTTCTGCCTTACCTGAGTTCTAGCTTTTGCAGATGTTGCTGTGTATTACATATCGAAATTATATATAGACATTGCTCATATATAGGAAACTGCATCCTAATATATGAACTAAAAAGAAAACTTTCTCTACTAAACTTTGTACAATAGTCTATAAATGCAGTTTCTCTTTAACAATAGAAATGTGGAAAATATACAATGTTTAAAAAAGCAAGGCACTCACTCCTTCAACTTTACCCTTGGCGTTGATTGTGAATAAACCCCATTTGGAAACGTGAGAGAGGGAGAAAGGCTAGAGTTCAGTCAGGTTCCTGGACACACCCTTGGAATCTACTTAACAAATAGATACATCGCTCTGGCAATGAGAATTGAGTCTGGGCTGTGCTACTTCTGCTCCACTGTAACTCATTGGCCAAGTGTCTTAGTTACTACCTAGCACTGCTGTAACGAACATATGACAAATGAGTAGCTTTAAAGAACAGAAATTTATTTTCTCAGTTTGGGGAGCTAGAAGTCCGAATTCAGGATGTAGCTCTAGGGGAAGGTCCTTCATTGTCTATTTCAAGATCTAGTAGCTACCAACAATCCTTGAAGTTCCTTGGCATTCTTTGGTGTCTGTCTTCCCCTTGTGTGTCTCCGTCACTCTGTTCTCTTTATACAGGCAGTCCCCAACTTACCACGGGGCTCCGATCCACTGACTCCATCTTAAGTCGGTTTTGATGTAAGTCGAATAATTCATTTATTTTTATTTTTATTATTATTGCCTTTTATTATCAGTATCTTTATAAATACTGACTTTATTTGTCTTTGGGGGTTGGAAACACGACGTATAAACTTACATATTTTAATACATACGTAAAAACAAACAAACAAAAAAAACCTTGCCATTGAGTTGATTCCGACTCATAGCAACCCTGTGTGACAGTAGAACTGCCCCATAGAGTTTCCAAGCAGCGGCTGGTGGAGTCGAACTGCCAACCTTTTGGTTAGCAGCCAAGCTTTTAACCACTGCGCCCACCAGGGCTCCAGTACATACATACATACATACATTAAAAAAATACACAGATCATAAAAATTTATTCTGACAACGAAGAAGAGTTGGACAACATTGGTATTTTGTCAGTTTCGGTAATAACTTGACTTGTGGAAGGTTCTGGATCATCTGAGTTATCCTTGGGAATGCATATGGCATTACTAGTCAAATTAGTGAGAGTTGTCTATATGGTCCTTTTCTTTTTTTCTTCATATGTTTCAAGGTAACATCTCATTGCTTCCCAAATTTACCTGTCGACTTTAGCAAAGTGATCAGCATTTGAGTGTATGTTTTCAAGAAACTGAAGCCCCTGATTTAGTTTAGAAAAAAAACTCCAGCTAATCCTTTCACTGGAAGATTTTTGGACCACTTCTCTCCTTCCTCTTCCTCATTATTTCTTTCTTCTTCAGCATTTCTTTCCTCTTCAAAATCCATTAAGTCCTGATCTGTCAATTCCCCTTCTTCCTGATCTATGAGCTGTTACACATTGACAATATCATGTACTAAATTCACTGTTTTGCCACATGGGTGATTTTTCCACCTATATCTTCCATCATATTATCCTGATCAAATGCTTGGAGCATGTTCACATAACTCAGTAATTTTTTCCCTATCCCTCGCATGCATTTTCCCATAACTTCCTCCCAGGAAGATGCAATGATCCAGATACACTGACAGTCTTAAGTGCAGTTCATCGT